TATAGTTTGGTCACTTTTATGTAAGCATTTAAGGTGTTTTGTTGTGCTGCACTGTTTGGTATTTATATACATAGTCTGGCTGAAAAAGACAAAAGTTCATCCAGTTCAACCATAAAAAAAAAAGTTATAATCCTATACCCACAGTTGATCCAGAGGAAGGCAAAAAAAAACCCCAGCAAAGCATGATTCAATTTGCTCCTGCAGGGGAAAAAATTCCTTCCTGATCCCCCGAGAGGCAGTCGGATATTCCCTGGATCAACTTTACCTATAAAGGTAATATATTATTGAGTGTTGTGAATTCACTTAATTTATGTTAACTGGCAACATTTTTTTACACTAAGGAATATATTTTATTATATTCCTTGCACTAATTGATTTTGTTGCACGTTGGTTACTAAGCACAGCTGCACCAGTTTGAGTAAATCCTCTCAATGTTATTCAGAAAGGGCTTACATCTACTTTAATTATATTTTGTGTGATATTCCTAACATCTAAGATAAAGTAAAAAAATATATAAAACCTATTTACCAACCACATAATTTTTAATTATTTTGTATCAGACATCTTATAACAATACCACTACATGTTTTCTGGTGTAATAAGACCGCAACTGACATGGATTTTAAATGGATAAAAGATAGCGATTAAAGATAACATTTTTAACAGCTTAAAACAGCTAAGAGGAAATGTTCCTTGCTACAATGTCATGGAACCCACAGAAGTTTACAATGTCGTATAAGGTGAACTTCCATGTAAGTACTAATGGGAAACACAATACTCTCTTCTTGACTGGCCGAGCAGAAAAAAGAACTTAAGGGGACTTATTCTTGTCATTTCTTGAATGCTTAATTGGGAGAAGCAAGGGAGAAATGTTGAATATATTGATTGTGAGATCTGGTAACCTGCGGCTAGCGCTCAACGTATGGAACAATATGCCTTCTTTGCTTATCTTGCACTAAGTTTAATATTTGATCTCTAATTTCCTTTGTAGGGGAGAGTGTTTCAGCTCAACAAGAGTCTGAATGAAATGATGCATTGCCTTCCTCCATTCACCGGTCATGGGATCTCATTCCCCCAGACATGTTGGGGTTTAAACTCATTGTCCTGATGCTATGGGACTACAACTACAGGTTACAGGATCATTTTCCCTGCAGGACAAAGAGCCAGAGTGTGACATCGTTTTCACAGAGTTCTCAGAAGGGAAATAAATTCGGGAACAAGAAATGGTTGTATGGGAAGAAGTTGGAGGGGGGAGAGAGGGAACTGAGGAGGGTCACATGAGTGCTGGGAAGAAGAGAGGGAGAAGGAAAGAAGGGGAAAGGTTTTACAGGAACGGGATAAGTCAATGCTTTCAAGCAGATGTAGACAATAATGTGTGTGTGTATGTGTGTATATATATATATATATAATAATAAAATGGATAAGTATACCATAAGGATATTAGGAGTTCTGTGACATTTCTAGATGTATACATAAAAAGGGAATATATTGTACACTACTCAAAAAAATTATTCTATTATTTCCTATTTTATTAGATTCTACTATTTCCTACACTGCTCAAAAAATTAAAGGAACACTTTTTAATCAGAGTATAGTGTCAAGTCAATTAAACTCCTGGGATATTGATCTGGTCAATTAAGTAGCAGAGGGGGTTGTTAATCAGTTTCAGCTGCTTTGGTGTTAATGAAATTAACAACAGGTGCACTCGATGGGCAACAATGAGACAACCCTCACAACAGGAATGGTTTTACAGGTGGAGGTCACTGACTTTTTTCCCTACTCATCTTTCTGACTGTTTTTCACTAGTTTTGCATTTGGCTAGTGTCAATGTCCCTACCGGTAGCATGAGGTGATTCCTGGACCCTATAGAGGGTGCACAGGCAGTCCAACTCTTCCAGGATGGCACATCAATACGTGCCATTGCCAGAAGGTTTGCTGTGTCTCCCAGCACAGTCTCAAAAGCATGAAGGAGATACCAGGAAAGAGGCAGTTACTCTAGGAGAGGTGGACAGGGCCATAGAAGGTCCTTAACCCATCACAAACAGACTTCATGAGGGTGGCCTGAAGGCCCGACATCCTCTAGTGGGCTCTGTGCTCACAGCCCGGCACCATAGAGCTCGATTGGCCATAGAGCCTTTTGCCACTGAACACCAGAATTGGCAGGTCTGCCACTGGCACCCTGTGCTTTTCACAGATGAGAGCAGGTTCACCCTGAGAACATGTGACAGACAGGAAAGGGTCTGGAGAAGCCGTGGAGAATGTTATGCTGCCTGTAACATTATTCAGCATGACCCTTTTGGTGCTGGGTCAGTGATGGTCTGGGGAAACATATCCATGGAGGGATATCATGTTTCATTCCATCCAACGCCTTCAGGTTGCACCTCAGACTGTCCAGCTCAGTGATGCCCTGGTCCAGATCTGGCAGGAAATACCCCAGGACACCATCCATCATCTCATTAGGAGCTTGGGGTCTAGGTTGATAATTTTCATTTCCATCAAACGATGGGGCATCTTTAAATTCCTAACACATTACCCAGTCCATATCAGTATAGATATCCAGCATAGTTTTCCCCATTGAGATCTGATTTAATTTTGAGCAGTGTAGTATTGTGAAATTTTTCATGAGCATATATTTTGAATTACTTAAAGGGTAACTCCACTTGTGAAAAAAATATAGCAAATTAAAAACACAAAATTATATATATATATAATATAACTATACATTTGATACACAGGCCATATCATAGTTGAATATTATTTTTAAAATGCCTTTCCTTTCCAATCTGCAGCACTGTAAAATCAATGCCCCCCCCCCCCCCTCGAAATGTAATTTCCTATTTAAGTGATTGCCTCACTGATTTTCCTAAAAGTCTGCACTAGGGCACAAGTAGAATTTTAAACATCCTCGGCAATAAAGGGATTCAGACACTGCAACTTTTCTCATTAGAGCTCTTAGAGTGTATCAGCTGCTTAACTTGAACACAAACACTCCCATTCAGGAATCAGTATTCTAAGGACATAGTGGAACGTGCAGCTTTTTCTTCAATACCGGGCACTTTCACCCCCTTTGTGCCCAGGCCAACTTTCAGCACTGTCGCACTTTGAATGACAATTGCGCCATCACGCAACATTATACGCATCTAATATTTTTAGAATTTTTTAAACAGAGCTTTCTTTTGGTGGCATATAATCACCACTGGGTTTTTTATTGTTTGCTAAACAAATGAAAAAACATTTTCTTAGTTTCTGTTATAAAAATGTGCAAATAAGCACATTTTCTTCTTCACTGATGTGCGCTGATGAGGCTGCACTGGTGGGAACTGATAGGCTGCATTAATGGGCTTTGATGAGGTGGCACTGACTTGCTTCACTGATGGAGCTACAATGATAATGAGGGCACTGATGATAAGTGCCCTGATTATCCATGTAAATGTGCCCATTCACAGGAAAGCAAGTTATCGGCTTTCCTTTCCTCACGCTGTGACAGCATTGAGGGAAGGAAATGCCGTAACTGGCATTTGTTTACGTGTGATCAGCTGTGATTAAACACAGATGATCACATGGTAAAGATCCAACGTCATTGGCTCTTTACCATGTTATGTGGGACACAGCTCACCACCGATCATCGTGCCTGGGAGGAGTTCTGTGAATAAATGTACTACAAGTACAAACATCCTTCTGCGGGTGTCGCCTTGTGGTTCTCAAACTAACACGGTGCTGTAGAGCACCTTGTAGTTCATTCATTCTTCCTGTCAGTGTATCTGCTTGTTCGTACAGGATGTATGGGCAAGCAGATATAATATCTGCAGGAGACATGCATGGTAACAGCGATCTTCTGATCGCTGGTGCAATGCTTTACAGCAGGGGTCCTCAAACTACGGCCCGCCGAGGCCATTTATCCGGCCCACCGGCAGGGGCAGGACAGGAAGGGACACTAAGTACAGGGGCGGGCAGGGGGCTGCTGTACCTTACCTGGCTCCGGTCCCAGTCCCACGACGATCCAGTCCAGGAAGCGCTGCTCCTTCATTCACTCCGGCCACTCCCTCACTCCTGCCGCTCGGCTGCTCCTCCTCACCAGTGATTGGGCGCCAGAACTGTAGCTCCGCAAAGGCACACAGGCGGCCAATCACCTGCGAGGAGGCGGAGCCGAGTGGCCCCGCAAACATCGAGTGAGAGAGAGGCCAGAGTGAAGAAGGACAGCTGACAGGTAAGTGTGCCATGCTGATGGTGCTGCTGCTAGCAGGTATGCTGGCTGCAGTAGCACCTAGGCTGGAGCAGGGGTCAGCAAGTTACGTGTCATTGGTGTCAGTGGGAGGAATAGTGCCCCATCATTGGTGTCACTGATACTAATGATGGGGCATTATTCCTCCCACTGACACCAATGATGGGGCACTATTCCTCCCCCCACTGACTCCAATGATGGGACACTATCCCCCCCACTGACACCAACGATAGAACACTATTCCTCCCACTGACACCAATGTTGGGACACTATCCCCCCCACTGACACTAATGATGGCACTATTCCCCTCCACTGACACAATGACATACTATCCTCCCACTGACACCAAAGATAGGGCACTATTCTTCCCACTGACACCAATGACGGTACACTATTCCTCCCACTGACACCAATGATGGGGCACTATTCCCCCCCACTGACACCAATGACGTACTATTCCTCCCACTGACACCAGTGATGGAGCACTATTCCCCCCCACTGACACCAATGACATACTATTCCTCCCACTGACACCAAAGATGGGGCACTATTCCTCCCACTGACACCAATGTTGGGACACTATCCCCTTCCCCCACTGACGGGGCACTATTCCCCCTCCCCCACACTGACACCAACGATGGGACACTATTCCTCCCCCACTGACACCAATAATGGGGCACTATTCCTCCCCCCACTGACACTAATGATGGGGCACTATTCCTTGAACTGACACCATTGATGTGGCACTATTCCTTGAACTAACACCAATGATGGGGCACTATTCCTCCCACTGACACCAATGATGGGGCACGCTTCTTCCCACTGACACCAATGATGGGGCACTATTCCTCCCACTGACACCAATGATGGGGCACGCTTCTTCCCACTGACACCAATGATGGGGCACATTTCTTCCCTCCCAACGATGGGGCACTATTCCTCCCACTGACACTAATGATGGGGCACAATTTTTCCCACTGATACCAATGATGGGGCACTATACCTCCCACTGACACCAATGATGGGGCACTATTTCGCTCCATAAGACACACTTGGGGGGGAAATGTCTGTGCGTCTTATGGAGTGGCTGGCCAAGTATTCCCGCCGCCGTTGTATGTCCGCAGTCTCTGGTCATCTCCTGTGCTGTGTCCGCATTTGTTCATAGTTTTTTTTTTTTTTTTTTTAAAACTATAGTCCGGCCCTCCAACGGTCTGAGGGACAGTGAACTGGCCCCGTTTAAAAAGTTTGAGGACCCCTGCTTTACAGGCTCCTGCAACAAAAAATAATAAATATATAAAACAAAAAGGTGCGGCGCTAAAAAAATAATAAATCCATATTTTTTTTACCAAAAAAAAATGGGCATTTAATATTTTTTCTCAAAAGGTGAATTTATCCTTTAAAATACACTTTTTTCAATATGGGTGCATTCATTTTTTAATAAAAGGCGGAATATGGCTTTACCATCTAGTGGTGTGATATTTCAGTATCCCAAAATTAAGTACCGTATTTTCCGGCGTATAAGACGACCCCCTACTTTTCCTGTTAAAATATAGGGTTTGAGCTATACTCGCCGTATAAGACTACCCCTCTTCCAACACACACCAAATAAAAATGAAAAAACATCAGATTTGATTTCAATATGGTATGCTACTTCAGTATGGTATTCCAATGATGGGGTGCTATTCCTCCCACTGACACCAATGATGAGGCACTACTCCTCCCACTGACACCAATGATGGGGCACTATTTCATCCACTGACACCAATGATGGGGCACTATTCCTCCCACTGACACCAATGATGGGACACTATTTCTCCTCAATTAGTCAGTGACACCAATGATGGGAATGCCATCATTAGTGTCAGTGGGAGGAATAGTGGCCCATCATTGGTGTCAGTGGGAGGAATAGCACCCCATCATTGGTGTCAGTGGGAGGAATAGCGCCCCATCATTGGTGTCAGTGGGAGGAATAGCGCCCCATCATTGGTGTCAGTGTGAGGAATAGTGCCCCATCATTGGTATCAGTGGCAGGAATTGCGCCCCATCATTGGTGTCAGTGGGAGGAATAGCGCCCCATCATTGGTGTCAGTGGCAGGAATTGCGTCCCATCATTGGTTTCAGTGGGAGGAATTGCGCCCCATCATTAGTGTCAGTGGGAGGAATTGCGCCCCATCATTGGTGTCAGTGGGAGGAATTGCGCCCCATGTTGGTATCAGTGGGAGAATAGTGCCCCATCGTTGGTGTCAGTGGGAGGAGGAATAGTGCCCCATCGTTGGTGTCAGTGGGGAAGGAACAGTGCCTCATCGTTGGTGGCAGTGGGGGAGGAACAAGGCCTCATCGTTGGTGTCAGAACAGTGCCTCATCGTTGGTGGCAGTGGGGGAGGAACAGTGCCCCATCGTTAGTGACAGTGGGGGAGAGGATCGGCTGCTCCTTCTTCCAGTGCGGCCGCTCGATTTTCGCGGCGCCGCTCGGCTCCGCCTCCTCACCGGTGATTGGTCGCCTGTGTGCCTTTCCAGTGCTGGCGCCCAATCACCGGTGAGGAGGCGGAGCCGAGCGGCCGCGTGACCATGGAGCGGCCGAACTGAAAGAAGGAGCAGCCGCGCTTCCTGGACCGGATCGTCGTGGGACCGGAGCCAGGTAAGGTACAGCAGCCCCTCTGCCCACCCCTGTACTTGGTGTCCTTTGGAGGAAGGGGGGGCGGCGCCACGCCGCCCCTCGAAAAAGTGCCGCCCTGACACCCCGGCTCGCACCGGCGTATAAGACGACCCCCGACTTTTCAGAAGATTTTCAGGGGTTGAAAAGTCGTCTTATACGCCGGAAAATACGGTAATAATCACAAAATTGAAGCGTATATTTATGTTGGTGGTCTGTGGAAAAAGTGACCCCTTTACACTAGTGCTCACTAGGAGAGGTGTCCTCTTACACTGGTGGCCAGCAGAAACATTTCCCTTTATATTGGTGGTCAGTAGGAGAGGTGTCCTCTTACACTGGTGGCCAGCAGAAACATTTCCCTTTATATTGGTGGTCAGTAGGAGAGGTGTCCTCTTACACTGGTGGCCAGCAGAAACATTTCCCTTTACATTGGTGGTCAGTAGGAGAAGGTGTCCTCTTACAATGGCAATCAGTGCAGAAGTTTATTTTTATGTTGGTGGTCAGTAGGAGAGGTGTCCTCTTACACTGGTGGCCAGCAGAAACATTTCCTTTTACATTGGTGGTCAGTAGGAGAGGTGTCCTCTTACACTGGTGGCCAGCAGAAACATTTCCTTTTACATTGGTGGTCAGTAGGAGAAGGTGTCCTCTTACAATGGCAATCAGTGCAGAAGTTTATTTTTATGTTGGGTCAGTAGGAGAGAGGTGTCCTCTTACATTAGTGGTCAGTGGAGAAGTTTCCTTTTACATTTGTAGTGGGAAAGGTGTCCTCTTGTGTCAGACAATGCCCCTACAGATTGTTGGACCACTGGCAATTGACATCAGTATTAGAACTATGAAGAAACCGTAAACTGGGAAATCAATCCAACATTGCTCAAGGAACCCCTAGAAACCTTTGGAGGAACCCTAGGGTTGAGAAGGACTGATAGCTTCTTCCTACTTTTCAGGCAAAGCTTTGGAGAGAAAAATGGACCAAGCTGAAAGCTGGATTTATTATTCACTCAAAAGTGCAACTAAAAATTTCGCAAGTAGCAGCCTAAAATAGATGGAAACAGAATCTGTTCCCTGAGCTTAGTACAAGGATGATTGCAGAGGTAATTCAACACACCAAATGTTCTCAGGTTACAAGTAAATAATTATTCGCAATATTTCCTACCTGTGCTCAGGTGCATAAGAACAACATTTCTGTGTAAAAAGTTCCTGGAAACTCAGCCTGATCCCTGTCAACAGTTACAGTAAATGTGTACAGAGATTCCATTACTTTCACTGATTATATCATTGTTTGCCAAGTATTAAGTCTTGTAACTACGATGCATCATTTGTAATTGTCTACTGCCAATGATACATAGCACAGTGGTTATAACATGTTCTCAATGTTCCTTCATCAGATCTAACAGATTATAAAACCGAATGGAATATAGACATCAAAGTAATGTAAACTATGACCAGGTCCACAATTCAAAATTGTGTTTCTGTTCAATGTAAACATGATTAATGCAGTAACTCCTGACCCAAAGCACGTATGAGCTTACAATTTATACGGCCATGTTTGTTTTAAGACATTTGGGCTGATTTACAAAGGCTTAGTTTAAACTTGCAATTTGAAAAGGGGAAGGGGATGGTTGAGCCATGTTTTTACCACTTCCCAAGCTGCAAAGGCAGCAGTACAAGCGAGAACAGATACCGCCTCCAGAACACTTTGCATTGTGGACCAGCAAACATTATCCTCGTTCTGCCGCCTGCTAAACATGACCCCTTCATGTGAATAGGGCCATGCCACAACCGCATGCAATGCATATGGTTGCAGTGTGTGGCACAGGCTTTTAGGGGTTAAAACAGCCATGAGGAAGCGACAATGCCTCCTCACCACCTGTCAAGAGTTCTCTGAAAAGTGATGCAGATAACTTTTCAGAAGGCCAATGCAACTGTAAACGAGCCCTAAGGAGCTGACCTTTTTAACACTCTTAATGGAGTGAATTAAGTTGTGTATTAACGTGTTGTGTTAAGACAGCGAATACAAAGTCTTTTACATCAATTACAGCCAGTGAGACAGAGGGGGGGTGAGCCCAAGCCATGGCTGTGTGTATGCAAATGGACACACAGAGCAGTGGCTCAGGAGTGAACCTGCTTGGGTGCCCCCATAGTAAACGCTTGCTCTGGGGACACTCGGCAGGAAGGAGGGTCAAGAAGCGCTGGCGAGAAACCCGAGTAGAGGATCGGGGCTGCGCTGTGCAAAACCACTGCACAGAACAGTTAGGTATAACTAATATCATTTTAAGGCTTTGTGACATCCAAAAAGCAGCCCAACTGAGGGGTGAGCAACACAGCAAACATTCACTAACAAGCTCAAGGAACAAAAGAAAACTGTGGACTGCCTGCAGCTCAAAGGGTGCCTGAAGAACCTTGAGCCCAAAGTTGACATCACATGAGGCTGCAACATCAGCTTGATAGAACTTCAAGAACATTTGAAGAGAACATCTGGCTTGCACCCCTGGAAAACGGATGACACTCAGAATTGAGCGTGCTCAATTGAGGTCTGCTAACTTGTGCTGTGGCACCAGATGGGTGGAAGTTAGAAACTGACAGCTTGAAGCCCTGGGATACGACCCCCCCACACCAAAGCATCTGAGATGCAAAAAAAAGGTCTCTCTCTCATCCTACCAGGTCTATTATTACCCATAAAATGTCAACCAGGCAAAGGAGCCCTCCACTAAACACAATACTTTCCAAACTCATAGAAGAAATGGATTTGGGCTCAACTTTGCCCCCAAGTTTTCAAAAAATAATAAAATCTGCAAAAAAAAAACCTCTTGTGAAAAGCGATCTAAGTGTGTTTGACAGGTGGTGAGGAGGTGATATGTTGCCTCCTCACCACCTGATTTAAACCCATGATTGCAGTGCTTGCGATATGGTAGAACAACAATTAGTGGTTTAAATCAGGTGCGGGGAGGTGACATTGTGCCTGGTGATCATTGATTTTTCCCATGTTATTCAACTAGATCTCCACCTCTTTAAGGTTGCCTACTCCTGCCCTAAGGTTTGCTACTTAAGGCACCACTCAATGGACGAGAAAGAAATAAAAGGCAACCATCTGCTTTAGAGGCTAAAAATCCTCCAAACGCGGTTTAAGTGGTTTCCTGCTCTACAAATACTGCAGCCAGCTCAGTTCAGACATTGTTAGAATGGAATTTAAAAAGCTCACTTGTCTCTAGCTTTGAAATACATGAAAAGCAGATGAGGAAAGGTCATTTGGATTTTGGCATACATACAAAAAAGCAAAAATTATTTGATCAATAGCTTAAAATAAAACTCTAGATGCCAAACTTTAACTTGTTTTATTTAAAAACAGTATCACTTATAATCAAAATGTTACTATTTTGTCTTATTTTACATGAAAACAATGCATCCAAGAGTCACCGAACAGCCCTAGGAACATACATTCAAATTACCATCCAGGCTTCTAACACGTCTTTTGGTACTGTAAACTTCCTGGCATCATAAATGGAGGTAAATTAAGTGATTTCAGTTAAAAAAAAAAAAAAAATTTCACCTAAGCCTAGGTTCAAACTAATGCTACTGCATAATGTTGCTTTTTCAGAGCGGTTTTGTACCACTTTTTTATGCTTCATGCATGTTTTTGTAGGAGGAGACTGGTTGTAAAAACACAAAACCCTGCCAAACAAATACATGTGCTTTTCATGCGTTTGCATTAAGGTCTATGGGGACAAAAATCACACTATGTTACACCAAAAGAAGCACCTTTTTAAAAAATGACACTGCACGATGTTGCACTGATCTGAATGGACACCATAGAGAATTAAGGTGACCTCCATTGTTGTGCAGTGCAGCACAACAGCAGATGCAGATTAAATCGCACTAGTGTGAACAGGAATTAATGTTAGTGAAACAGGGACTCAATTTAATTTTTTTCTCAACAAGCAAAAACCGAGTTTTCATTTTGAGGCTAATTTTATCAATTTATCTTATTACTAATAAACAACAATATGAATCCATCCATGACAACAAAACTAGGTTTTTTCTAGCGCAATAACTGAAAACTGATATTTGACCAATGTGGTTTTCTGCACATCACTAGCTACACGTTACTTACACCCCGGTCACATCAAAGCTGATTTTGAAATCGTGCGACGTACATTGAAGTCGCACGATTTCAAAATTGGGTGACCTGCCGATTTCATTGCGATTTGCAAGACATCTGACACAGATGTCTATGCAAATCACAACAAAAGTAGTGCATGTTCTACTTTAGAAATCGGTGCGGCTTCAACCAAGTTGGAACCGCATCAATATGACTGCTCTAATAGTGGACAATAAGGCGCGACTTGGCATATGATTTTCAAGTCGCCTGGCATGCAAATCACACCCGATGTGACCGGGGGCTTAGTCTTATTCTATAAAGCCCAACGCTGGCAATAAATGCAACTAATTAAAAAAAACTAAGAGTTTACTTAGCTGCTCAACACAGCACATAAAAGAATTTGGCCAGATTCACTTTAGACTTTCCACCAGAACAACCTTCTTGAGATAGTTACACAGAACAATCATTTATTCTTGTGTACGGTCAGTGCTGGAGCTTGCTCACACCCAGCTATTTTTCTTTATAAAACTCTCAGATTTTGTAGAATGTTGAAGGACACACATAACACACAAGTGGACCTATTCAACAAACAGTGCAATATCCCATAACAACTATCAGACACTTTGTACTGATCACTCTTCTGCAGTGAAGTCTAATTGGTTAATGGGTATTGCACTTAAAAATAAAAACTTTTTATTGAACGAGGATGCAGATTAGATAACTAGTCTAGGCAGTCTTTATAGACCACTAAAACTTTGTATGTTGTATATGGCACGAAACTTGCATCTATGGGTTACGAAACTTGCATAAAATTCTACCTTACAATAGATGCGAACAACAAAATCGGTCAGTTCGTATTTAGTAAATGTCTGAGTATAAACTGGAGCATGTGCTGGAAGTTGTCAATGAATATCTGTCTTTAAAAGAGCCCCCCCCCTTAGTAAAAAATAGAATTATGATAAAATACTAAGCCTGGGAAACACCATGTAGTTTATCTTGCTGCAATTCTCTAGCGTACATGCAGTCCTATTGTACACATTTAACATGAAAAGCAGTCACTCGAGCCATACACCAAATCAGTAGACTATAAACTATGAATCTAGTCCAGTGACCAATGTAAATATTACATATAACTTCACTGCACTTACAGTATGTACATAGTAAATCTTAAGAAATGTCCTTTTTATTAGGATTTTACAATTGTCTCAGTGACAGTCCACGTTTAACAATACAGCTACCTTTTCCAGCTGAACTGAAATAGTCCCAGAAAGTTTGTCAATATGTAAGCCCTACATATTCTGTACATACTTATTACTCTTCACAGAGCATCTAATCAGGAATGTAAATGCAGAGAACTGTGCTATTTAAATGCCATAAATATGGCTCTGCACACAAAGGCTTTTGAGAAGAAATTGGCTCAGGTAAGCAAATTATAAGGCTACTGCAACGGAGACCTGCTGAATTTATTCACCCGAATTTCCAGATCTGACAACCTGAAACAGCTACTATTAGAAAAACTTGCTCTGATTTCTTATACTGCACTATGGAGAAGATCTGTACACTAGAGTTTAAGAAGATGGTGTGTGCCTACTAAAACCCATCCATAGCTGAAACATTTCAGCAGGACTAAGCCTGAAAGCCTACATTGTTAAAGAAAAAAAAAAAAATAAGTAAACCTATGCTAACTTTACCACTCAAAAATGAGAAGCAGGCATGAAAAGTGCCTATGTTCACATGGAGTGCCCTGAGATTTAATATGAACATAGTGACTAGGCTCCAAGTATGACTGTATAGACTGAAGTCACTATTTGCATATTAGAACACCTGGGGGTTTTCAAGGCTTTTACAGCACTCAGCCAGGTTTGTAAACATACAAGGACATTTAGATGCCAGTATTTCATGCCAGTCCACAATTCAGTATCTTTATGTGAACACAATAATTACAATAGCCACAAGTTTAGATGGAACCAGCTGTGTAAATATGACATACCATTGAAAAAGCTATACAATACTGTCATTTACCCATGCAGGAAAAATTTGCATCGTCTTTTCAGAGGCCCCCCACTTTCCCCTAAAAAAACCTTTCACAATGTTCCCTTGCACCCGACACCAAAATCTCGAATGTTGACGAGTATACGAAGTGGTGATGTCTTCCTCATGTGACAGTGCTCAGGCCTAACGATTGGCTGCTAGACCCGAGCAGGTCACATGCTCCCCCTCCATACATGCAAGCACAAGGTATTGTCCCCTGCTGTGGCGAAGGCTGGAGGAGCAAAAGAGCACTGATAAAGCAGGCTGGGGGAAGAAGCCTTTATAAAGACACTGCAACTTTGCTCTGCATGGGTAAGATGACAGGCTCTCTTTAACCTGTGGAGTGAACAATAAATATATTTTTTCTATTTAATTAGTTTTACTCTCTCTTTCAATACTCTAAACTTTGGATTGCGGTGTATTTTCTTGTTGAAGGTAGCAAAAACATCTTCTTCAGACTTGTGCTGGGCAGAGGATACTATGTAATACTGAGCGACAACCTACGAGGAGATAAAAAAAAAAGAAATTTTTACATTTGTTAATGTACAATTAAACACAATTACATGGTGGCATACTTTTATCATATTTCACAAGTAGCAACATACCCAAAAAGCCTTAAGATAAATTCTAGTTTTGATAAGAGAACAACCTCCTCTAATGCTAGACATATACTGATCAAATTTTGGCAGTTTTAGAGGGGACCAAGCAAATTTTGATCAATATTTGGCAGTTCCAGCTCAACAGAAGTCGATCAAACAATTGACTTCTATCGATGGGACATGGCTGTAGCTGCTGAGCAGTGTATTCTGACAGCGGAGGGTGCCGATGTCAGAATACAATGCCCTGGTAGGAGGGATTTCTTCATCCATCTTGTTTGTGTAAATATAGGATTCTTTTTTTGTTGTTGTTCAGTTTGTTGTATGTCTTTCTATACCCCTTCTCTTTCTGCTCACTTTTCTGTCTCTCAGACACCAAGACAAGGAAACAAGGGAAAGGGTGTCACAATGACAGAAAAAAGTAACAATAAAGGCAGATGTTATACTTTCACATTCCCAAGTTTTCAATCATCTTGTTACCAGGACAGGTAATGAGGGGAAATCTCCATGAACCCTTTTGCTGCCAGAGCTGATTTTGCGTTTTTTTTTGCACGTTTACAAAAATCATTTTGGGCCTGCAAATTAAATAAAACCAGCAAACATTATATATCTTCTGAAAACAGACACCCTAAAGAATAAAATAGTGGTAGTTCCAATGTTTTATGTCACACGATACTACTGCAAAGGTCTAGAAAACACACTAAAGTAAATTTGAGGGCAAGCAAACACAATTTACCTACATTTTTGGTAAAATATAAAAATGAGGTTGAATACCAAAGATGTCCTAGTCTTACATTTGTGTGTGTCTGTGAAATGGCGACAAACTTCAGTACCCTATATTTTTTATAGGCAAGGCTTCAAAAGCCTCTATAGGTCATCAGTTTTGCGTTATAGAGGGGATCTGGTGCTAGAATTATTGCTCTCACTCCAGCATGTGTGGTGATATGTAACATGTGTATCACTATTGACATTTTCATGTGTAGGCACCTGAGGAGTTTGTTTACATTCGTACGTGTGTATATATGGGGGTGGGGGCCTCCAATTAATTTTTTTTGGAGGGGTGGGGTTATGTGCTTGAGTGTGACTAACTTTTTGCAATTTATAATTTTATTTTTTTTTAGACCCTGCATGTCTCCTTTGTGCTCCACTGACTGTAATGCAATGCCGATTACACTGCAACACATTCCTCCCCGGGTAGTAAAGTGAGAGGGTGACACAGAAGTGATGTCATACACGGCACTTTCTGAGTCAGCAACAAGAAGGGGAGGAGAGCAGATGTGTGTCTGCTCTCCTCACTCCCCTCTACCTAACAGCACCCTCTAGATTGGTCCCAGGCCTGCAGATGGGAAAGCGGAGCCTGCAATATAAGGTGGAGGCGCCATTACCAGTGGTGGAATCAGGTGGCTGCGCTTCCATCTGACAGACAGGAGTCTGCTTGTCAGATTTACACCCCCCCCCCAATGGCAGGTCCTTATGATGGACCTGGCAGCAAAAGGGTTAAAGGGGTATAGATGACACTAAAAAAAAACCCCTGACTTTTCCCAGCTCTGGAAAAAAAAAAAAGGGTTGGTAATCTCTTCATTTACAACAGACTGAAATCAATGGCTTTCTAAAGAGATTACTGACAAGGAGCTGTTAAGTCTGTTAAGTAGCAATGACATTTAATGGCCTGTGAAGCCCTAGGCTTAGACCTGAAACCGGCTGGAAGGAAGGTTGTTACGAGGAGCCCTGGTGCAATGCAATAACAAAAAAGTTCAAGGACTAATACTGGCATAGTACGATTACCTAATAAAAAAAGTAAAAAGCCCAGAAACAGAGAGCTGCCTTATGAGAGCAAGGTGCCATATGGACAATAAAAGCCCCTCGTGAAGTAAGAAGGTTCCAAGGCCCCACCATGACTGAGATTAAATCTGAAACTGAAGGACATACTTTGACCATAGCAGCAATGTTTTAGAGGCTGCTACAGGCACATGTGACACTAACCATACACATTCACTGGTGGTGGAGAAATCACTGCATATTATATTCATCAGGAACATTCACCTTCAGTAAATGTTTGGTGAATGTCATTTAATGCTTTACTAATATGCCCCTGCATGTATGCACTTTATAGTTACAGCTGTTTTTATCTGTCTGATTTACCTTTAACCACTGACCAGGAAATTTTTGCTGTTTAACACTGCGCCACTTTAACTGGTAATTGCTTGGTCATGCAACGTTGTACCCAAATTAAATTTATGTAATTTGTTTCACACAAATAGAGCTTTCTTTTGGTGGTATTTGATCACTACTGTTTTTTTTATTATATAAAATTATTTCTTTGGGTGTAACTTTCATTTTTTACAATAAAAACAAAAAACTTTTTTTTTTTTTGATCACATAGGGGACATCATGTGATAATTTTTGGTGACAGGTTCTCTTTATTGAGAGACCCAGGATGCCTCCCCTGGATGTAATGCAGTGCACATCGCACCACATTACATTCTCCCCCGGCCTCCATCGCCGGGAATCTCTCAACGGGGACCCAGAAGTGACATCATAACGTCACTTCCAGGTCAGGACAAGAAGGGGAGGGGAGCAGATGTGTCCGCTCTCCTCATTCCCCTCTAGCCGACTGTGGTGAGCCGATCCCGGGCCCACAGGTGGGCAAGTGGAGCCCGGGAGAACACAAGCAGGGGGAGGTTCGGGGGGACGGGGGGAATAGAAGCTGGCACTGTGTGGAAGTAATTGGCAGCAGCGCTGCAGCGCGACTGCTTCCACCTGACAGATGAGCCCTGTTGCTTGCCCAGCAGGACTAAAGTTTACAAAAAAAGAAAACGTTTTGCCCGGCGCCCAGAACTGCATCTCAATGCTTACTCATGACTGAATATGTCATTACAATGATAAAGCAGATTTTTTCCTCAAAACTCCTGCATTTATCTACTTGTAACTACATAGTTGGCTGATTGTACAATCTCCTCAGGATCTACCATCAGTTTGCAAAGTGTATGGCCAGCTTTAGAAATACCTCTGTGTGTTATATGCTATAGGGCTGACAGGCTGCTAAGATTCCATAGCAACAGAAAGCAATTAGGAAAAAACAAATGTGTGTAAAGCTACAGAAGCCAGGATTTGTTTTGAAGTGCATTTACTGCACTTTAAATAAAAAAAATACCATACTTTTTGTATAATTAATTATTTTAAGTGATATCATCAGCTGCTTGATAAACATCTACATTTCCTGGGCACCAGGAGGGTGTGCAGATGCATCAAGGGAGTGCTCCAATTTGGTGAGTGAGCATTTAACATTTTTGTAATCGCAATTTAGAAACTGAAGTCTGTGTCTGTACTATACAGGGGTCATAGGCCTGGGATCATTCTGCACCTCCTTTTCTTTGGCATTGCATCTAGACCAGAAGTAGTATGATCATCTAGTTGCAACATGCTTCCTGTATAGTCTTACAAGGATATTATGAAATCTACGCTAATGAATTCTTAACAAAAGGAAACGATGTTAAACAGAAGAGTAACATACCTCGCTGCGATAAAAAAAACTTTAATCGCCATCTCTGATCGCCCCCACCGCACCTCCTTCTCACCCCTCCTTTCTCCCCCATGTACCCCTCCTGCAATCTTCATTCCCATTTCCCCTCTATCTTCACCCCTCACCCTCCCTCCTTTTCTTCCCCCCCCCCCCTTTTCTTTACTGAATGGTTATTCTCATATTGGTCGCTAATGGCATACCCTTAACCATGATAACTGAGATGCCTACAGTTCAATCCCCCCGGTTAAGGAAAACAAATACATCAGAAATCCTTCCCATAACCAAATTGCTATACTATTCATCACATGACATTAACCACACCCTGACATGCTGTTGCTCTCTAAAATATCAACCAATGTATAAACTTGTCTGCATTGTACTCTTCAAGAATATTGATATTATTTTTGTTCACAATGTTAGGGGTTGCATCCCCAACATATACAAACATCTCCTAGGCATTCTAACTGTGGTTATCTCCCATTGAGTTTATATACTTGCAATCTCTAGATCTGTAATCACTAATTCTGCTATGTTACCTTTAATAAAATATCTGAACAAGAAAAAACGTTATTGCGCTGTGGTAAAATTCTTTGTATACTATTTAATAAAATTTGTACTACTGCAAAAGAGGCTAATATAGTCACCCTGCTGTAAGCCACTATTACATCTTATTGCAGCTTATGGTATTCAGAGAAGGTGGGGGTGCCCTGTGAATCCCCTGTGTGCGACAACTTGCAATTCCCTAATGCGCAGTATGTTTGAGGACATCCATTGCCCCAGCTGTCTACACCCTAGCTCACAAGATTTTTCAAATTGACTTTACTACGAGTAGTAGACTGGAATTTAAAGCCACAATCAGGTATGGAGATGAATGAGAAATGAACCTCCTATATATGTAACTTAAGGGTCACTGCCCTGAACGTCTGGTTACAGTCTGCTTGCACACTCGCAGGCTGTTGATTTTAGAGAGAAGGCCAGGCTTAAGTTTTATCCTGTTTTAACAAATATTGAGGTCTGCAACCTGGTGGCTACGGGTACTAGATTGTAGTAACCATTTCAGGTAGCAGAAGCCTGGTCTCCACAGTTGCTGTTCTGGAAGATGCCTGGGGAAACATCAAAGTCTAATGAATATTAGAAAATCATCCTCAAAATGAAATACAGAGGATTTTTCCATAACAATAAAATTATAAAATGGCTTGTGAAACAATAAAATGTTACACATATTTCCTAAGTAGACCTTAGCTAAACTGGAATGAGAAAGAGCATTAGTATCTCTTTCGCAAATTCAATTTAGGGCCTGGTTTGAATGAGGAATTTCAAAGAGGAAGGTTTTACACATCACACAGTTCTAACTGGGATTTTGGGTTTAAAAGTTCAGCTTTAATTTTGGTTAGGGTAATTCCACCAGTGTTTTTTTTTTCCCCCTGTACACAAAGGAAGCCCCCTTCAGCACAGGCTGCCTAAAACAAGTATCCACAAAAGTGTAGTAATAATAATAGGAAAATACATGTCCATATGAAAATGAGGAAAGCATTGCAGATATGCTCTAGGCAGGAAATGTGAAAAAGCATTTTAGGTTCGAAATTGAAATGAAGACCATAAATAGATATTTATTTGTACAATTACCTTCTTCCTCAGCTTCTTGATGGGAAGTTCATTGTCAGGAGCCTGCTTTAATAAAGCTGTGATAGTTCCCTTCCAGTTAAATTTACCTGTAAAATATAGGTGAACAGTTTATCCAGGCTTGATTCAACTCTGTCATCTTACCAATCTAGGTCTGGTGATATACACAACAAAGGAAGAAAGAAAAGATCTGTTCTGTAACCTTTTTTATACACAACTAAACTAAGGGTTACATGTGCATATTAATGTTTTTCCTAGTTTCCATGTTAATAGCCAGGAGATTATGCAACAGAACTGTCAAGTAGTGACTAAGAAAACTGCCAGAGAAAGGAAGGCAAGAGAAAAGAGTGGTGTGCAGTAACCAATAGGAAACCATCAAAAATCAACCTTTACTAGCATGCCTAATTTAACCACTTCCTGTCCGGACACTTTTACCCCCTTCCTGTCCAGGGCAATTTTCAGCTTTCAGCGCTATCAAACTTTGAATGACAATTGCACGGTCGTGCAACACTGTACCCATATGAATTTTTTACCATTTGTTTGAGACAGATAAAGATTTATTTTGGTGGTATTTATTCACCGCTGGGATTTTTTTTTTTTTTTTATTATGTAAATGAAAAAGTCCAAAAATTTTTGAAAAAAAAAAGTGTTTTTCTTATAAAATTTTACAAATAATATTTCATCTTAAACTTTTTAGTAAAAAAAAAATAAAAAATTAAGCCAAATTAGTTTATAACCAAAAATTATAATTTTTTAAACATTTTTTTTTTTTTTTTTACATACTGTCACCCTAGCAGTACAGTGTCACCATGGTGACACTGTACTACTTGTGGGGGTTGATGAAGATTTTTTTTTTTTTACACTGATTGCTTTTACACCCATATAGGATGTAAAAGCAATCATTTCTCTTTCTCTCTGTCTGCATTCTTGCAACCATTGAGAACTACTGAGTTAACTGTGATTGGTCACAGCTTGTCACATGGTACAAGGCTGTTGTGAATAGCCTTGTACCATGTGACCTCTGTGACCATTCACAGATTTCACACGTAGTAAGCAATGATGTCACAAGTGACATCTTGCTTACTACTTTGCATGTGATCACTGATTGGCCAATCAGTGATCACATGATCGAGGCCTCGTACAGAGGTCCCATCCGACGATCGGTGTTTTCACTGTGTCCGGAGGAGGGAGTGCGCACAAGCAGGGTAGGGGCAGGCCACTTATAAACGGCCACCCGACCCTGCAGTGCCACCATCCGGCCGTTTATATACAACGGCCGGACAGGGAGGTGGTTAAAAGCAGAATTTTACTCATTAAAATTATATAAAAAATTATGTTTCTTTAGCAAGGAACATACATTCCACATTTATTGATACCAAAATTAGTGTGTGCTGTAAAAAGTTGCCTCCATAATTGCTCAGCAGATTAGCCGCTAGTGGCTCTAATTTTCGACACAGTGCCAAAATATAGAAAGCAAATGAGCATGTGCAGAGCAGGGTGAGACAGTGTATTTCTGTTTTTTAAACAGTATAGACACTTATGTTTATTGTATTACATAGCAAAAGGGGCCAGCATGAAATGATCTAGCAGGTCTGATTAAAGTTCCACTACAAACTGCTTAGGAGTTGGCTTCTGATTGGCGGCAACGTATTACTGAAAAAGGCAAAATTGACAAGTGTTAAGTTAAAGTGATTCTAAAGGCTTGAATTTTTTTTTTTTTTATGAAATAACAAACATGTCTATACTTACCTGCTGTGTGCATTGGTTTTGCACAGAGCAGCCTGTATCCTCCTTTTCTTGGGTCCCCCTGCTGGCGCTCCTGGCCCCGCCTTCCTGTCGGGTGCCTCCACAGAAAGCAGCTTGCTATGGCGGCACCCAAGCATGTGCACTCCCAAGCCGCTGCTCCGTGTGCCCCGCCCCTCTCTCTTCTCATTGGCTCACTGCTGTGATTGATCGCAGCAGGAGCCAATGTCTACCATTACTGTCTCAGCCAATTAGAGGGAATCCTGGGATAGCCGAAACTGCAGTGCACATCAATGGATGAAGAAGGAGATTAAGGCGAGTATAAGTGCCTGTTCAGACATATGCGGATTGGATGCGGTTTGAACCGCATCCAATCCGCATGACATGTGAATAAAAAATTGCTTCTTATGGAGCCTGTTCACATACATCCGATGCATTGGTGGTGCAGATTCAGTTCGGTTTAAAAAAAAAAAAAAAAAAAAGAGTCATGTTGAATTTCTGAGCAGTGCAGTCAGGTTCAGATGTGGATTACAGGCTTTTGACTTCTAAGGGAACTGTTTCTAAAACTGCATATGTGTGAAAAAGATAAGATCCTGAGCTAATCCTTTCCTGAACCTGATGTAAACTTGATGTAAACCTGTGAACAATTACTGTATCAATTAGCTGTGAAACCTGAGCTTCAATCCGCACTGCACACGTGTGAATCAGCTCTTAGAGGGGCTTTGGGAGATGCTGGACAGGGAAGGTTTTTTACCTTCATGCAGTAAAAAACCTTGACCTTTAGGGCTCGTTCACACTAGGCTGTTTTGCCAACGCTTGCCAAACGCCCCTATAGCGTTTGGCAAGTGTTGGTCCGGCGTTTGCGGAGCGTTTTTTAAAGCTCGGCAAACGCTCCGCAAACGCCGCATGCGCGGTTTAGCGGCGGTTGCTAGGCGTTTTCCGAGCGTTAATAACGCCCCACAAACGCCTATAATGCAGTTTGAGTGGTGTTACCGCTCCGCAAACGCCCCGCAACCGCGTCGCAACCGCACCGCAAACGCCGGCCGGGCGTTTGCGGAGCGGCACCATAGACGAGAATAGGAGGCTTCAAAGCCTCCTGACTCGTCCAGAGGCGTCCGTTTTGCCGCGACGCAACGCGACGCAAACGCTCCCGTTAGAACAGCACCATGTGCTGTAATGTGCAGAATTGGCAGAGGCGTTTGGGAAGCGGTAAAAACGCTTCCCAAACGCCTCTCTGCCGCCTGCACACAAGGCTAGTGTGAACGTAGCCTTACAATTACTTTAAAACAGTATCATGTTTTTTTTATTATACTGCATTTTTAGGCTCCATACACACACATTTAGAAGCTTGAAAAATGCTAATAGCGTTTTTGTGCTGGCATTTAGTAGTCTTTAGAAGCGTTAGCGTTTTATTAGCATTTTTACAGTACAGGAGAAAAACAATGCTTGGAAAAGCTGTTAACCACTTCCCGACCGGCCGTTGTATATAAACGGCCGGACGGTGGCACTGCAGGGTCAGGTGGCCGTCTATAAACGGCCACCCCGCACCCTGCTTGTGCGCGCTCCCTGGGAGCGCGCAGCACCGCGATCCGGTGGCCGCTGTGTCCTCCGGACACAGTGAAACACCGATCGTCGGACGGGACCTCTGTACGAGGTCCCGATCATGTGATCACTGATTGGCCAATCAGTGATCACATGCAAAGTAGTAAGCAAGATGTCACTTGTGACATCAATGCTTTCTATGTGTGAAATCTGTAAATGATCACAGAGGTCACATGGTACAAGGCTATTCACAAAAGCCTTGTACCATGTGACAAGCTGTGACCAATCACAGCTCACTCAGTTCTTCTCAATGAGTGCAAGAATGCACACAGAGAGAAAGAGAAATGATTGCTTTTACATCCTATATGGGTGTAAAAGCAATCAGTGTAAAAAAAAAAAAAAAAAAAAATCTTCATCACCCCTCACAAGTAGTACAGTGTCACCATGGTGACACTGTACTGCTAGGGTAACAGTATGTAAAAAAAAAAATAAAAATAAAAAATAATAATATAAAAAAATAAAATAAAAATGTAAAAAAAATGTTTAAAAATTATAATTTTTGCTTATAAACTAATTTGGATTTTTTTTTTTACTAAAAAGATAACGGAATAAATTTTGGCTAAGATTTATGATGAAATATTATTTATTTGCAAAATTTTATTAAAAAAACACTTTTTTTCAAAATTTTTGGACATTTCATTTACATAGCAAAAAAAATACAAATCCCAGTGGTGAATAAATACCACCAAAATAAAGCTTTATCTATCTCAAAAAAATGGCAAAAAATTCATTTGGGTACAGTGTTGCATGACCGCGCAATTGTCATTCAAAGTGTGATAGCGCTAAAAGCTGAAAATTGCCCTGGTCAGGAAGGGGGTAAAAGTGTCCGGTCTGGAAGTGGTTAAGAGCGTTTACTAGCGTTCAGCATTTATTTCTGTCAGGAAAACACTCCCAAAAACTCTACAAAAACATTTTTTCCTTTCTGCTCCTAAATGCTGAAGCTTGAAAATGCTTCTAGCATAAAAAATGTGCACGAACACATAGGATAACATTAGTTTTTAGGGGCAGAAAATAAAACTGTTGATAATAGCTTCTAGGAGCTTAAAAAAAACCGCTAGTGTGCATGGAGCCTCAAGGTCTTTCTTTTTGGTTCACAAGGTTAGCCTCTAGACATAACAAGCGTTTACCCTTGCAGCGCAGTGGGACCACTACCAATGTAGATTGGTTCCAATTCTTGGGAGTTGGGCTTTAAGTCTATTCCTAGAGATACGAAGAAAAAAAACAAATACAAACCTAGCCAGCAATAAATGCATTTTACCTTTGTTAGCGCTGTTATCCTCATCATTTTCCTCCTCCTCATCGTTTTCTACATCTTCTTGTTCTGTACAGCATAAACAAAAATGAGTAAAGTGAACAGTTTATGCAGAAACAAATTGAAATGCTGGTACATTACGACTACTATTGCTGACCTCTTTCTGAAAAATAGCAGTTTTCTATCTGTTCTGCTCACCAAGGACTTCAATACTTTCAGTGAACCATTCTCAACCTCAACGAACACATACCGCAAGTTCTAAGTAAGGTTCTATTTAATTTAGATTGAACAGAATAGGTGAGGTGCAGGTTTCATTTCAGACAAGCATGCAAGGCTTTGCGACAAAAAAAGTTGTAGACTTATAGGCCGATAGGTTGCAAAATTTGTGAATTAATTGCTCCACAGCATCTGCTGCTACAGAGGTCAGTGAGGACTTGCTTTAACACTTTCTCTGCCAGAGCCGGTTTCCCATTTTTTTTTATGCACACATGCTTAAAAAAATCATTTTGGAACTGAAGATTACATAAAATCCCCAAAACATAACATATTTTCTGAAAGCAGCAACCCTAGAGAATAAAATAATGGTAGTTCCATTTTTTTTTATGTCACCCGATATTACAGCAAAAGGTCTATGCAATGAAAATTTTCAGTAGAAAAAACACACTATAGTTAATTTTAGCGCACAGAAACACAAAAAGAATACCCATTTTTTTGGTAAAATATAAAATATGAAGTTGTATCAAGTAAATAGATACCAAACACGTGAAACCTTAAATTTGTGTGCGCTCTTGCAATGGCGACAAACTTCAGTACCCTATATTTTTCATAGGCAACACAGGAGAAGGTCTGGTGCTAGAAATATTGCTCCCAATGTGCATGGTAATATGTAACATGTGTATTGCAATCAACTTTTGCATGTATTTATATTATGTGCGTATATATGTGGGGGGGGGGGCCTTCACATTTTTTTTTTTATTTTATTTTGGGGGGGGGTGTAATGTGCTTTTTACAATTTAAAAAAATATATTTTTTTCAACACTATGATGATTTTTTTAGTGGCTAGTTCTCTTTATCCACTTGCCTACCAGGCACTTTCACCCCCTTCCTGCCCAGGCCAATTTTCAGCACTTTGAATGGCAATTGCATGGTCATGCAAACTGTACCCATATTAAATCTTTATAATTTTTTTTGAGACAGATAGAGCTTTCTTTTGGTGGTATTTACTCACCACTGGGTTTTTTTTAATAAACCAAAAACTTTTGAAAAACAATTCTTAGTTTCTGTTATAAAAATTTTGTAAATGAGTAATATTTTCTCCTTCACTGATGTGCGCTAATGAGGCTGCACAAATGGGCTCTGGTGGGCATTCATAAACATCACGGATGGGCACTGAAAGGTATTATTATGGCACTGATGGCACTGTTAGGTGGCACTGACTGGCACTGTTAAGTGGTACAGATAGACGGCACTGATTGGCAGCACTGGTAGGCACTGACATGTGGCATTGATGTTCACTGATGGCACTGACAGGTGGCATTGATGGACACTGACAGGTGGCACTGATGGGGCTACACTGATCATCAGGGCACTGATGATCAGTATAGATGTCCCCTCTAAGGAATGCAGATTACCGGCTCTCCTCTCCTCACGAGCTGTCAGTGTGACAACTCGTGAGGAGAGAAATGCCGATAACCGGCATTTCCTTATTTACATGTGATCAGCTGTGATTGGACACAGCTGATCACACGACAGAGCTGAAGAAATCGGCTCTTTCCGCAGATCGGTGATCCGTTGCGTCCTCCCAGAACGAAAGAACCGCCTTGCGTCCGTCATTTCCTTATATGGCGGGCGTGAGGCAGTAATGAGACCCTGGATGTCTCCCCTGTTCTACTTAATGCAATGCAATCTAGATCGCATTGCATTACATTTTTTCCCATGATGGCCACGGACACTGAGGCGGACCTGAGAGGCACACGTGCATGTGGGGGGGGGGGGTTACTGGGGATGTGTGAAAGCAAATTGGGTGGCGTAGCTGCCCGAATGCTTCCACTCAACAGGCATGAGTCTGCTTGTCAGATTTACACACAATCCTGGTGACTGCAGCCACCATGAATGTGTGCAACTCCCCCCACACAGATCTGTAAGACATATGGTTAAATCTAAAATTACAGACTTTTAAGAACGTAAATAATTGAATGGCCATAGCCTAGTCTAAGGCTACAAGTTTAGTTCAGTGTCCACTCACCATTGACTGGGAAACAGCACCATTCACCATAGAGAAGCAGTAGTGCAGACATATGCCCCTTTTCAATTATGTAGGAATCTGAATCAAAACAGCTGCAAAGGAGCTAACTCTAGGTGGTGGGCAAACTGGTTCCTATGCTACCTTTACTACCCCAGCTGTAATTTTACTATGATATACTATAGTGCAGAGCTGGTACAGGCAGAGCTGGTACAGGCATACTTTGTTATGCAACATCAGATAACACAGCCAACAAATAGGATAAAAAGGGCAGCTACCCTGTGCCCTGAGTTGATCCTGCACGTGATGCTCTATATCCAGAAACCTGACTGACCTTCTCTGCACTACTTTAAGCTTCCATCAAGGCAGTAAGGCTGAGGCAGGGAAGAATGAGGCACAACTGCCACAGGGTCCTTACCGAACTACACTACGGCCAGTTTTCAAAAAATATCTAACTGCACCAGATGGATACCTTGTGATTCTTCAGGTTTCCTCTTCTGTGTTCTTGACTCTTCTACCTCCTCATCATTTTCATGTTTCTTTTTCTTTTTTTTCTTTTTCTCTGCTCTATCCTCATCATCGCTCTCCTGAATCTCCTCTTCCATTTTGCGTTTCTTGCTCTTTTTTTTTGTTTCATATTCTGTGTGTTCCTCTGAATTCAGCTCCTTTTTTTCTTTTTTATTCTTTTTCTTCCTTTCCTCCTTGCGCTCCCTTTTGCTCTTCTTCTTCATTTCTTCCATGGTTTCTGAAGATTGAGATGTTTCTTCAGGAGCAGCTGTGTGAGCTGCTTTTGGTGTTTCTTTACTAGCTGCTTCTTTTGTCTGTGAAATTATTCGGGACTCGTAAGTAAATGTCAGAGTAGGATATGTACCGATCATTAGCATTTACATTGCCTTGAAAAAGTATTCATACCCCTTGAAATTTTCCACATTTGATCATGTTACAATGAAAAACCTAAATATATTTTATTGGGATTTTATGAGACAGACCAACACAAAGTGGCACATAATTGTGAAGTGGAAGGAAAATGATAAATGGTTTTCAAAATTTGAATCTGAAAAGTGTCTCCTGCATTTGTATTCCACCCCCGAGTCAATACTTTGTAGAACCACCTTTCGCTGCAATTACAGCTGCAAGTCTTTTTGGGGATGTCTCTACGAGCTTTGCACATCTAGAGAGTGACATTTGTGCCCATTCTTCTTTGCAAAGTAGCTCAAGCTCTGTCAGATTGGATGGAGAGCATCTGTGAACAGCAATTTTCATGTCTTGCCACAGATTCCCAATTGGATTTAGGTCTGGACTTTGACTGGGCCATTCTAACACATGAATATGCTTTGATCTAAACCATTCCATTGTAGCTCTGGCTGTGTTTAGTGTTGTTGTCCTGCGGAAGGTGAACCTCCTCCCCAGTCTCAAGTCTTTTGCAGACACTTACAGGTTTTCTTCTAAGATTGCCTTGTATTTGGCTCCATCCATCTTCCCATCATCTCTGACCAGCTTCCCTGTCTCTGCTGAAGAAAAGCATCCCCACAACATAATGCTGCCACCATCATGTTTCACGGTGGGGATGGTGTGTTCAGGGTGATGTGCAGTGTTAGTTTTCCGCCACACATTAGTGTTTTGCTTTTAGGCCAAAAAGTTAAATTTTGGTCTCATCTGACCAGAGCACCTTCTTCCACATGTTTGCTGTGTACCCCACATGGCTTCTCACAAACTGGACTTCTTATGGCTTTCTTTCAACAATGGCTTTCTTCTTGCCACTTTTCCATAAAAGCCAGATTTGTGGAGTGCACGACTAATAGTTTTCCCATGGACAGATTCTCCCACCTGAGCTGTGGATCTCTGCAGCCCCTCCAGAGTTACCATGGGCCACTTGGCTGCTTCTCTGATTAATGCTCTCCTTGCCCGGCCTGTCAGTTTAGGTGGACGGCCATGTCTTGGAAGGTTTGCGGTTGTGCCATACTATTTCCATTTTCGGATGATGGATTGAACAGTGCTTTGTGAGATGTTCAAAGGTTGGGATTTTTTTTATAACCTAATCCTGCTTTAAACTTATCCACAACTTTATCCCTGACCTGTCTGGTGTGTTCCTTGGCCTTCATGATGCTGTTTGTTCACTAATGTTCTCTAACAAACCTCTTAGGGCTTCACAGAACAGCTGTATTTATACTGAGATTACATTACACACAGGTGGACTATTTTCTAATTAGGTGACTTCTGAAGGCAATTGGTTCCACTAGATTTTAGTTAGGGTTATCAGAGTAAAGGGGGGCTGAATACCAATGCACATCACTTTTCTGATATGTGTAAAAAACTTTGAAAACCATTTATCATTTTCCTTCCACTTCACAATTATGTGCCACTTTGTGTTGGTCCGTCACATAAAATCCCAATAAAATACATTTATGTTTTTGGTTGTAACATGACAAAATGTGGAAAATCTCAAAGGGTATGAATACTTTTTCAAGGCACTGTACCTGAATAATACTTACTGTGCTGGTGGCTTCTGAGAAAATCTCCCAAACTTGTTCTTGTAAAGCTTGATTGTGAATTTTTAGGCTGTTCTTCATCCAGTTCTGTAGAAAAAAAAAAAAAAAAAAAAAAAACTGAACCAAAATCTTAAAAAAAACAAAAGCTCTAACCCACCTTGTCCTATACCTCTCTTTTGGTCAATATTGTGGGAGGGGTGGGTCAGAGTTTGACTTTTTCAGATTTGGTCTGTATTTACATAATAGAGTAAACTGAGTTTCAAGGCTTCGGGGACGGTATGGGAGACAGCTGAGTTGACACATGGGTGAATGCTATTTCTAGGGTCCATGTTACTAGTGACAATAGGTATACATAAAGCAGAACTGAAGCCATCCACAGCGATGCTCTCCCTGGGCTGGCTATTCTATGCAGGACATGCCTCTAGGACTGAAACATGTAATCAAATCGATTAACAAAATAGCTGTCAACTATTTTCACAACCGATTAGTTAGTATGCATAGAAAATGCATTATTTGTTTACATATCAGAAAATACAAAGCAGCACACATACATCTCAGTACAGTGCTCTGTACAGGGAAGATCAGCATCTGAACCGAGAAGCTGATAGACTGGAAGTAATATAAGGCATTGCAATGAAAGTTTTCTATTCTCCTGCTTTGAATTTTCCCATCACTGTGGTCGAAAATGAACACCAATTTGACCCCACTAACGATTAGAAAATTGAACGAGCATTCTTAAAACAAAGATTTTCAAACAAAAAATGTGTTCATGTATGGCCAGCATAAGTGATAGCAGGGGCAGGTATCAAGCTACCTGCCTATGCCAAGGGAGTCTGTCATACATAATATATATCAAAGTCCTGTCTGTAAATCTGCAAACATGTATTTTAGGTATTTTTTTTTTTTTCTTTAAATAACAAATTTGATCTCTAAGTCAGATGGTATGTACCAAATTCCACCTCCTAACAGTATATACACGGATCAAAAAAAAATTAAAGGAACACATTTTAATCAGAGTATAGCATCAAGTCAATTAAACTCCTGGGATATTGATCTGGTCAGTTAAATAGCAGAGGGGGTTGTTAATCAGTTTCAGCTCCTTTGGTGTTAATGACACTAACAAATGCAGTAGATGGGCAACAATGAGACGCCCCCCAAAACAGGAATGGTTTTACAGGTGGAGGCCACTGACATTTTTCCCTACTCATCTTTCTGTTTTTCACTAGTTTTGCATTTGGCTAGGGTCAGTGTCACTACTGGTAGCATGAGGTGATAACTGGACCCTACAGAGGTTGCACAGGCAGTCCAACTCTTTCAGGATGGCACATCAATACGTGTCATTGCCAGAAGGTTTGCTGTGTCTCCCAGCACAGTCTCAAGAGCATGGAGGAGATTCCAGGAGACCGGCAGTTACTCTAGGAGAGCTAGGCAGGGTCGTAGAAGGTCCTTAAACCATAAGCAGGACCAGTAATTGCTCCTTTGTGCAAAGAGGAAAAGGATGAGCGCTGCCAGAGTCCTACAAAATGACCTCCAGCAGGCCACTGGTGTGAATGTCTCTGACCAAACAATCAGAAACAGACTTCATGAGGGTGGTTTGAGGGCCTGACATCCTCTACTGGGCCCTGTGCTCACTGCCCGGCACCATAGAGCTTGATTGCCATTGAACACCAGAATTGGTAGGTCCACCAAACTGGAACCCTGTGCTTTTTACAGATGAGAGCAGGTTCACCCTGAGCACATGTGACAGACCTAAAAGGGTCTGGAGAAGCCGTGGAAAACGTTATGCTGCCTGTAACATCATTCGGCATGACCATTTGGTGGTGGGTCAGTGATGGTCTGGGGAGGCATATCCATGGAGGGACACACAAACCTCTACAGGCTAGACAATGGCACCATGACTGCCATTAAGTATCGGGATGAAATCCTTGGACCCATTGTCAGACCCTACGCTGGTGCAGTGGGTCCTGGGTTCCTCCTGGTGCACAAGAATGCCCGGCCTCATGTGGCGAGGGTATGCAGGAAGTTGCTGGAGGATGAAGGAATTGATACCATTGAATGGCCCCCATGCTCGCCTTACCTAAATCCAATAGAACACCTCTGGGATATCATGTTTTGGTCCATCCAACGTCACCACGTTGCACCTCAGACTGGCAGGGAGCTCAGTGATGTCCTGGTCCAGATATGCGAGGAAACCATCCCTAGGACATCATCTGTCGTCTCATTAGGAGCATGCCCTGACATTGTCGAGCATGCCCTGACATTGTCAGGCATGCATTCAAGCATGTAGGGGCCATACAAAACTAGTGAGGACCATTTTGAGTTGCTGCAATGAAAGTTCAGCAAAATGGACTAGCCTGCTGCTTAATTTTTTCACTTTGATTTTCAGGGTGTCTTTGATTTCAGTCCTCTGTAGGTTGATCATTTTCATTTCCATCAAATGATGGGACATCCTTATGTTCCTAACACATTAGTCAGTCCATATCAGTATAGATATCCAGCATATTTTTCCCCATTGAGATCTGATGTGTTTTTAAAGTGTTCCTTTAATTTTTTTTTAAGCAGTGTACATCTCTTCTGTCTGCTATTCTCAGAGTGGATTAGATATTTTGTTCCCTAACCATAGCGCTGGTTATTTATATTTACCATTCCATATAGATATTCAAGAATAAAAATTAATTTACATACTGTATTAACTATATTATACACCAGACTTTTTCTGAGGTTTTTATCCGATTAATCGAAACAATAATCAGCCAACTAATCGACTCTGAAAAATAGTTACTTGCAGCCCTACATGCCTCTATTTCCTGATTTGAAGTAGCACAAAGCAGTGTATAGACAGCTAACGGGGAAACCAAGATCTCACTCTTTAAAGGATTAAAGGATAGGTTCGCCTTTCATAACATGTTACACCCATATTCAGGGTGTTACATGTAACATGTTGTTACGAACAGACTGCTCCCCCCACTTTGACAGCTAGCGGAGCATCTTCTCCTCCTGCTACCTGTCATGGCAAGGGGCTCAAGGGTTTATGACTGATGTGCAGAAAAACTTTTTCTCAGAATCTTATATTAAAAAGCATTTTTTTTAACCCCTTCACGCTGGCGCCTCCCGCCCCTTTAAGAGTTTCAGAAGCCGGGAAGCGGGACGGGGTTTAGGGATCATGTCACATGATCGGGAAAGGTCCTGATCGAAAAAGAAGACCGGGACCTTTCCGTGAGTAGCGGAGCAGGGCACGCGCTCTCAGCGCATATGTTTTTTTTTTTATAGAACACAAATGTGTGGCCGCTCGGCGCCTAGACCCAGATGCCGGGAGGCCACACATTTGTGTGCGGCCGGCATGAAGAGGTTAAATAACAAACATGTTATACTTACCTGCTCTGTACAATGGTTTTGCACAGAGCAGCCCCGTACCTCCTCTTCTCAGGTCCCCCCGCCGGTGCTCTTGCTGAGTGTCTCCAGAGCAAGCAGCTTGTTATGGGGACACCCAAATAGGCTCACTCCCGAGACACTGCTCTGCATGTCTATTCACACTGGAGCTGTGGCTTGGCCCCAGTCCCTCTCTCTCCCTACAACTGGTTCATTGGCTGTGATTGACAGCAATTGCTGTCTCAGCCAAGGAGGAGGGAGAGTCACTGGAGTGCCGAGGCTCTCTTGTACATTGCTGGATCGTGATGGGGATCAGGTAACTGCTGCACAGAGAAGGTTTTTTACTTACATGCATAAAATGCATGTGGGTAAGAAACCTTGAGCCTTCACAACCATATTAAGTCCTGTTCTGCATCCTGGAGCCTAAGAGACTTTGTAGTGCTTTGGGTGGGATAAAGCCTCCAGTCCTTAATAACACCTTATCTAGAAGAAGACCTTGTGACTGCTCTCAGCTGTCCATAGGCCTTTTTATATGTGAGCTTACTGATCCTCAAGGTTCTCGCTCTTCTGTGTGAAAAGGCTGACTGCTAACAGAGCACTATGGAAGGAGTAAGAACTGCCTTTTTGTGTTGGTGAACACCCTATTAATCAGGAACTGGCCTGAGCTTAGTTAGTGGTGAAGACGTGCAGATATTTTGTTTTATTCCTCGGACTTGCTGTAAAAGACCCTCCTATATTGAATAAAAAAGCAGGACAAGCCTGCTTGGATTGTTCCTGGGTGTCCCTGTTCAATGCTTGGTTTACTGCTGCTAATATTATTTTTGAATGCGCCCATTACACTATTAACAGAGTTTAGCCTGGAGGAGTTTTACTGCATGCAGTGTTATCTGAATGGCAGTAAACTGGACTTAAGCTGGCCATACACTGGTAGATTGTGTTCAATTGTAGAAAAATCACAGCAGTATGTGACAAAGAAGACATGACGAAAGTCGTTTTAAAGTACTTTAAAACTTTCTTTGCTTTCAGCTATCAAATTTCGGTGTGAATGCAATTTACTGAATGGAAACCACATGCACTGTTAGAAATTTGTGAGAAGCTTCCCTATTCCGCTCCTTTGAATTTTCTCAGCACTACAAAAAGAAGCATCAATCTGACCTTACAAACCACTAGAAAATCAAATGAACATTCCAAAAACAAAATCCTTTTCCAACAAAGTCTACTAGAGTATGGACAGCTTTAGACTTACCTGAAATTTGGATTTTTTTCTTGGGATGTTATCATATGTGCTTATCTGATTCAAGATGTTCTTCAAGTTTGGAGTTATGCCAGGTTTGTTCATAACTTCATGAATTCTCTGTAATAGGAAGAAAAAGGAAACTAAATCCAAATGTGTACTTACTGGCTTGGAAGGTGTGGGAAGTAAACTAGAAATAAACTATTTTAACTATCACCAGTTTACAGCAGTAAGAACAGTGACATGGATAATAACAGATTTGTATCTACAATTGCAAGAAAAAGTATGTGAACCCCTTGGGATTACGTGGAGTTTTGCATGATTTGGGCATAAAATGTGCTCTGAACGTCATCTAAGTCACAATAGAAGAACACAGTCTGCTGAACATAATACTACACAAACATTAGATGTTGCCATGGTTTAATTGCACATAACATGTAAACATTCACAGTGCAGGGAGGAAAAAGTATGTGAACCTTTGGACTTAATAACTGGTTGACCCTCCTTTGGCAGCAATAACCTCAACCAAACGTTTCCTGTAGTTGCAGATCAGACCTGCACAACGATCTGGAGTCATTTTGGACCACTCCTCTTCACAAAACTGTTTCAGTGTAGCAATATTCTTGGGATGTCTGGTGTGAATCGCTCTCTTAAGGTCATGCCACAGCATTTCAATCGGGTTGAGGTCAGGACTCTGACTGGGCCACTCCAGAAGGTGTATTCTGTGCTGTTGCAGCCATTGTTTTGTTGAATTACTTGTATGCTTTGGGTCATTGTCCTGTTGCATCACCCATCCTCTGCAGAGTTTCAGTTGGTGGACAGATGGTCGTACGTTTTCCTGCAAAGTGTCTTGATAAACTCTGGAATTCATTTTCCCATCAATGACAACAATCCGTCCAGGCCCTGAGGCAGCAAAGCAACCCCAAACCATGATGCTCCCTCCGCCATGTTTTACAGTGGGGAAGAGGGGATGTTGGTGTGTGCTGTGCCTTTTTTTCTCCACACATAGTGTTGTGTGTTCTTCCCAAACAACTCAATCTTGGTTTCATCTGTCCACAGTATATTTTGCCAGTAGTGCTGTGGAACATCCAGGTGCTCTTTTGCAACCTTCAAACGTGCTGCAATATTCTTTTTGGACAGCAATGGCTTCCTCCGTGGTGTCCTCCCATGTACTCCATTCTTGTTTAATGTTTTCCTTATTGTAGATGTGTCAACAAAAATGTTAGCATGTGCCAGAGATTTCTGTAGGTCTTTAGCTGACACTCTGGGATTCTTCTTTACCTCATGCAGCATTCTGCGCTGTGCTCTTGCAGTCATTTTTACAGAACGACCACGCCTAGGGAGAATAGCAACAGTGCTAAACTTTCTCCATTTGTAGACAGTCTGTCTTACCGTGGACACATGAACATCAAGGCTTTTGGAGATACTTTTGTAACCCTTTCCAGCTTCATGCAAGTCAACAATTCTTGATCGTAGGTCTTCTGAGAGCTCTTTTCTGCGAGGCATGGTTCACATCAGACAGTGCTGCTTGAAACCAGTAAACCCAAAACAGGTGTTTGTTTTTTAAGGGCAGGACAGCTGTCAGCAACACATCCAATATCATCACACTGATTGGAGTCAAGGTTGGCTCACTCCTGGCTCCAATTAGCTCTGGGAGAAGTCATTAAGCTAGGGCCTCACATACTTTTTCCTCCCTGCACTGTGAATGTTTACATGTTATGTGCAATTAAACCATGGGAACATCTAATGTTTGTGTAGTATTATGTTCAGCAGACTGTGTTCTTCTATTGTTGTGACTTAGATGACGTTCAGAGCACATTTTATGCCCAATTCATGCAAAACTCCACGTAATCCCAAGGGGTTCACATACTTTTTCTTGCAACTGTATTAGCTCCTGCATGATGGCCATGGATTTAAAACCCATGAAACCATGTTCTCTATCACATTAATTCATACAGGGCTGTCCTTTCTCCAATCCCAGCCTGGGAACTGGACAGTGATGGAGCACCAGCAAATTGGTATGGCCATCACTTTACTCTCCCTTCCTATCAGCATTCTTTTTATAGTGTAGTAACACACAGTATGTTAGCTGCGAAATCAAGTTTCATTCACAGACTGCTCCTATCCTGCGGTTGTGGTGCGGTTTCTGAAAGTGAACCAAAAGTCCTGCATTCAAGCCGCAGGACATAATGGAAGTTTATGGGAAAGCACAGCTAACTCGCATTTAAACCATGGGCACAAAGTTGTGCATAGAATTGGGAACACGTGGCCTGCATTTATACACGCTCACATTTGGTGAATTTATCAGATTTATGAAGCTAAAAGGATTTGCCAAGAACGGTATTTAGATCTAGACATTGGTGTTAGGTCTACACAACACCTCCCCCTCTCCTTTTCGCCATAATATAGAGGTAGGTACTGTAGAGGCAGGAGGTACAGTAAATGTGTTTTCCTAGAACTTTTTTTTTTGCATTTATTGAATATGTATAAATATGTTTTTGTTATGGGTTACATATTTAGTTCTGAGTGGAGTGTACCAATAGAAAAATTTTACTACTTTTACATTCCAACAAAACAAGAAACTCTTATAGCTCAGGAAATACAGACTGTTCCTATAGTCACTTCCAAAGAACTAAGCTGAAAAACATTTTATAAGCAGAAGTTATTTATAGGAATGGAAATTATGTGACTTGGACTCTTGCTTCTGACAACACATGACTTTGACGTCATGAAATTACCTCCATCATTATTTAACTACTACCCTATGGCCATTTTCTGTTTCTTTTTAACCATACACTGGGGCTGACATACTATAGGAATAGAGGCTGTTCTCTTTTGAAATTTGAATGATAGTAAGTGAGTCTGTGTTTACTTTAAAGGATAAGTTCACCTTACTCACGGTGTAACATGTTACGATCAGACCAGCCCCCACTACCAAAAAGGGGCAGCATGGGGCTACGCGCACACGGCCGAGTCACTCATTCACCGTCATCTGTGAATGAGAGACTACAAGTCCCAACAGCCTTAGCAGCTGTCAGTTTGTAGCCCTCAATGTAAAGTGAAATGAGCATCACAGCACTGTGGTAGTTAATTCATTCTTCCTGTCAGTATATATGCTTGCTCGGACATCCCATATGAGCAAGCAGATTTACTGCCAGATCTGCATGGCACCAGCGATCTGCTGATTGCTGGTGCAATGGTTTACAGGCTCCTGCAGACAAAAATAATAAATGCACATTTTTGTACCTGCAAAAAAAAAAAAAAAAAATATGCATTTATTATTTTTTTTTCTAAAAGGTGAACTTATCCTTTAAATATTCAACAATATATGAGGAACACAGGACACAAAAGGTATCTGTTGATCCTGCCAGAAATCCAATGTGTAGCCAGTGCACTCTTGCCTTTCCTGTTATCAGTTTACATTGTTCCCAACTTTCTCTTTGTGAACTACAGAATACTGTCCCACACAATGTAATGGACGGGAGGAGAGGGGGGAAAGGAAGTTCAATACAGTATGCAAGCATGGTCACCCAGGCCATAAAATGTGTTTTCTGCAGGACTGCCAGGTAAAATAGGGAAAAGAAAATAAAGGAAAAAACTAATGCAGCCACCACATCTATGGGCAGGTGAGCTGCAATATTTATACATTTTTGTTCCTGGGTTTAAATATGATTTAAGTTTAAAACATTGATTTCTGGTGACCATTAATTAAAGCAATATCTAAAAAGTTGTGTGTAGCACTGACAATTTTTCAGTAAGTTATTTGGTTAGAGGACCTTTGCCTACAGAAATAAAACTTCCTTTGAATAAAAACATCTGTTAAAGGTTAAAGGCACGGATTTAGCACTCCCCCTCTAAATGCGACTAGTATAAGCAAATCAATTTGTCCTGACATCAATCTCCTGTCATACCCAGCACAGCAGTACTCAGGCTGGGAGAGGAGCAGCACTAGCAGCCAACCTGGAACAATCCGTGAAATCATTTTTTAGGTGTCAGGTAAAAAGTCTGATAAAATTATTTTTACAGCTCCTTATACATTAGCTTGATCAACAAGTTGTAGATATAAAATAAAGAAGAACTCTGACAATCTAGCATACTTGACAGCTAGAGAAGATCATTTTGAACATCCCAACTCTATGAAAAAATTGTTTTTGGTAATAAAATAAAAACAAATAGTAAGAATGGCAAGGACATTTACTTGGAAGATGTGGGGAGAGGTTTTACTGCAGGGTCAGTGAACCCGTATTGAATAATTAAGTGCCAAATTACAAGCAATGGACAACCTGAGTGCCAGTGAGTATTACTGTGCTGTATTTCTGCACTTCCAGATCTCAGATCAGCCCCTTCTCCTGCACCTTTTTACCTAAGATCAGCCCAAATTCCCACACCTTCAGACCTCAGATCAGCCCCAATTCCCACACCTTCAGACCTCAGATCAGCCCCAATTTCCACACCTTCAGACCTCAGATCAGCCCCAATTCCCACACCTTCAGACCTCAGAGCAGCCCCAATTCCCACACCCTTCAGACCTCAGGTCAGCCCCAATTCCCACACCTTCAGACCTCAGATCAGCCCCAATTCCTACAGCTTTAGATCTCAGATCAGCCCCAATTCCCACACCTTCAGACCTCAGATCAGCCCCAATTTGTGCACCTTAAGATCAGCCCCATTTCCTGCACCTTTAGACTTCAGTGCAGCCCTGATTCCTGCACCTCCAAATCTCAGATCAGCCTGAATTTCTGCAGCAGCAGACCTCAGATCCTCCCTCAATTACCTGCACCTTCAGGCATCAGATCAGATCCAATCACTGTACCTTTACATCTCGGATAAGCCCGGATTCCTTCAGCTGGCATTGCCATCAAAAGGAAGATAGACAGGCAGGCCACAAACAGACCCACACTGATCATGGGAATGCTGTCAGACAGGCCTCCCTAAAACATTGTGAAGGTGAGCACATGGGCACAGAGGGACAGGCCAGGCTATGTAACTAACCACCTAGTAAGCTGTTAATTATAATCAACAACAGAAGGAACGTATTTGTAGGGAGCAGAGGCCCATCGGAGGAACCTGTGGTGGGCCAGTCAGAGGCTGCTCATAGGCCACATGACAATCTTCTGGGTAAAGCTGAAAATTACATTGCTTGCTCTGATATGTACGTCTTAGGATGCCTATCCCTGCTTTACAGAGTCTATGTCAATAGCTCTGCTGATTGATCCTAGATGAAAAAGGTTGATCTAGAAAATCAGAGATCTGATTACTGGTAGATTCTAGATTCTTTCTCCAGTACTTTATGGAGAACATCATAAACACATCTATCTCAAAACAGCATGCTGTATTCTTGTAGCTTTGAAGTCAGCACGGCTCACATATTATGGTGTTACTAACATTTGGCTTAGCTGTCAGTATATGTGGCAAGTGACCTTTATGCTCTATCCCAGTGGTCTCCAAACTGCGGTCTGAGGGCTAGATGCGTCCTTTGCTTTCTTTTATCCACTGATACCAGCAATGGGGCATAATTCCCCCCACTGACACCAATGAAAGGGCACAATTCCTGCCAATGACACCAACAATGGGACACAATTCCTCCCATTGACAATGACAATGTGGCTCACCTTCTCCCAGTGACCCTAACAATGAGGCCCAGTGACAACAATGTTGAGGCACAATCCCTTCCAATTACACCAAAAATAGGGTATTGTTTTTTCCAACTGAGGTCAGGACTTTTTGGCCACCAATGGTCATGGCCCGGCCTCCATAAAGTCTGAAGTACAGTAAACTGGCCCTTTGTTTAGAAAGTTTGGAGATCCCTGCTCTATCCAAACAAAGCTCTGTTTCATAGGCTATAGTATATGCAGTGCCCTTTAGTATAGTGTTTTATTAACCTAAACACCTGCTACCATTGTCAGTCTGTGGCAAAGATATATACCTGAATCCACTGCTGCTGCTTCACATCTCCCTTGTTGGCCTTTGCTTCAAAAGCCTTCCCCCCCGTATTTCTGATCTTCACTTATACACTTCAGATGACTTTTATAATCATCTCCCCTGGAATAAACAAAAGTATAAAAAACACAAAACGGAGTATAAATAGCCAGCAAGAAAAGGTAAGGAGTCCACCCTTAAGGCAGCATGTACATACAGTCAGGTCCATAAATATTGGGACATCGACACAATTCTAACATTTGTGGCTCTATACACCACCACAATGGATTTGAAATGAAACAAACAAGATGTGCTTTAACTGCAGACTGTCAGCTTTAATTTGAGGGTATTTACATCCAAATCAGGTGAACGGTGTAGGAATTACAACAGTTTGCATATGTGCCTCCCACTTGTTAAGGGACCAAAAGTAATGGGACAATTGGCTTCTCAGCTGTTTCATGGCCAGGTGTGTGTTATTCCCTCATTATCCCAATTACAATGAGCAGATAAAAGGTCCAGAGTTCATTTCAAGTGTGCTATTTGCATTTGGAATCTGTTGCTGTCAACTCTCAAGATGAGATCCAAAGAGCTGTCACTATCAGTGAAGCAAGCCATCATTAGGCTGAAAAAACAAAACAAACCCATCAGAGAGATAGCAAAAACATTAGGCTTGGCCAAAACAACTGTTTGGAACATTTTTTAAAAAGAAGGAACGCACCGGTGAGCTCAGCAACACCAAAAGACCTGGAAGACCACTGTGGTGGATGACCAAAGAATTCTTTCCCTGGTGAAGAAAACACCCTTCACAACAGTTGGCCAGATCAAGAACACTCTCCAGGAGGTAGGTGTATGTGTGTCAAAGTCACCAATCAAGAGAAGACTTCACCAGAGTGAATACAGAGGGTTCACCACAAGATGTAAACCATTGGTGAGCTTCAAAAACAAGAAGGCCAGATTAGAGTTTGCCAAACGACATCTAAAAAAGCCTTCACAGTTCTGGAACAACATCCTATGGACAGATGAGACCAAGATCAACTTGTACCAGAGTGATGGGAAGAGAAGAGTATGGAGAAGGAAAGGAACTGCTCATGATCCTAAGCATACCACCTCATCAGTGAAGCATGGTGGTGGTAGTGTCATGGCGTGGGCATGTATGGCTGCCAATGGAACTGGTTCTCTTGTATTTATTGATGATTTGACTGCTGACAAAAGCAGCCGAATGAATTCTGAAGTGTTTCAGGCAATATTATCTGCTCATATTCAGCCAAATGCTTCAGAACTCATTGGACGCCGCTTCACAGTGCAGATGGACAATGACCCAAAGCAGACTGCAAAAGCAACCAAAGAGTTTTTTTTAAGGGAAAGAAGTGGAATTTTATGCAATGGCCAAGTCAATCACCTGACCTGAATCTGATTGAGCATGCATTTCACTTGCTGAAGACAAAACTGAAGGGAAAATGCCCCAAGAACAAGCAGGAACTGAAGACAGGTGCAGTAGAGGCCTGGCAGAGCTTTACCAGGGATGAAACCCAACGTCTGGTGATGTCTATGCGTTCCAGACTTCAGGCTGTAATTGACTGCAAAGGATTTGCAACCAAGTATTAAAAAGTGAAAGTTTTGATTTATGATTATTATTCTGTCCCATTACTTTTGGTCCCTTGACAAGTGGGAGGCACATATGCAAACTGTTGTAATTCCTACACCGTTCACCTGATTTGGATGTAAATACCCTCAAATTAAAGCTGACAGTCTGAAGTTAAAGCACATCTTGTTCGTTTCATTTCAAATCCATTGTGGTGGTGTATAGAGCCAAAAATGTTAGAATTGTGTCGATGTCCCAATATTTATGGACCTGACTGTAGATTAACCAATTAATTTCAATGAGCTGCCTTATGCACAGCAAAGTAGCTCACGCATCTTTTTGAGCTTCAAGCTTTTTTCTTTTAACCACACAAAAAAATGCACGTCAACTTGCCACATTTGGGGTGCCAGGAACAATGAACAGCACCACACATGTGACACTAATGTTCATAAAAACTCTATAATGTGAATTTGGCCTAAAAGACTTCCCTTCCCCACCCCAAACAGCATGGTGTCACTTGTGTCATGCGACTGTATGAATAATTTCCATTATGGAACATAGGAATAGCAGTTCTTTGATGTTACACATAATACTATGGAACCATTGTGGCAAATCATCATTAGGAACAGATTAAAGATGTAATCAACTAAAAAACATTATTTAAAAAAGCATGCAGTCAGGTAGGATATTAATGACAGAAAACACCCTATTGGTCTCTTATGCCATAAACTCTTCTCCCAGCTTGGCAGTGTTTATGTACGCTGAGCCACACATGTGCAGCTAAGCATACATGTACGGCACCACTCTGCCATCATGATGTGAACTCCATGCGCATGTCCAGGAGTGGTGTCTCCGGAGCCCAATCAATGGAATGAAGAGTCCAAACTCGAAAGGTAGACTGAAAGAAGATGGACGTGCCTGTAATAGCCAAGAGAACTAATAACACAGCACTGGAGAGAATTGTTTAGCATACTAGTACTTTACAGCAAAACCCTACTGGGTTCTTTTCTTTTTTTTTTTTTTTTTTTTTTTTTTAAAGCAGAGGTTTAATTCAAATTTAAAAGAAAAGTTAATTTATTACTTTTGTAATTTTTTATTAATAGAAATAGGAGCGGTATTTGCTGAATGTGACTTTTCTTGCAGTCACTGATAGATGGATAAGGAGCCTAAGAGCCCAGCCACAACACTGGAGAACAAAGTCAACTCAGCAATTACAGCTCTATTTCATCAAAGTGAAGTTTTCCTTTAAGAAGTACAGGGTAGGGGGACTGGTTTCATCCACAGTAACATGTACAAGTCTTCCAGTATGATATAATAACAATAAACACATGGCTTTTGGCTTTTACACCACTACCTATTCAGCATCAGTACATGTCCAAAAAAAGATGATGCAGTGATATCAATGTGATGCAATGAACTCAACTATAAACTCACCAGAAGTCCTTCCCACAGTCAATACAAGAGAGGCATCGACAGTTTCTGCAAGCTGCCACGTGCTTCTCCACTTGTCCTTTCTTCAGGGACTCTCCACAAGCATTGCAGGTGAAAAACACCAT